TTTGGCCCCGACATGGATCCATCTGAAACAACCATGAAGCCTAAGCTAATGACTGTGATAACTGACCTCTAGTTGGTTCTGCAAAAGTAGCCTAAGCCTTTCTGCTGCACACAGACTACTCCTCAAATGGTACCACAGTTAAACAAGAAGAAATGCCAAATCTATATTCTGATCATATAGGGTCTCTGCAGTCGGTGTAGAAATCTTTCATAATCCAAGACTGGCTGGTCCTGCAGCCTCGTGGTTAAGAGAGCCGAATCTCACATCTTAAACCACTGTTCAAATCGCAGGCCCAGCAGCTTGAAAAACATACCAGGTACGCGGACATGTATGTGCCCCAAATCCTGACAGGAGGGAGAAATGGAAAAATTTTGGTGTGACCACACCCCGTTAGGGGAGTGCTTTCTCTCTCTATTTCTAGTGAGTGTACCTGCCCTGTGGCAATTTAAAAAACAATCCAAACTATACATAGCCCCTTGGCGAAGAGTCTGCTTGGACCCATCCATTCCCCTTATCTTTTCAGCAACCTTATTTCTACGTGATTCTTCTCGTATGATCACTCACAGCATCAGCCTGGTCCAAGTGATTTGCTACCCATGATTTTCTACCCACACTGCTGAAGAAGTGAGGTCAATGGGTTTAGGTTTGCCTCTTACAAAAGATTCACATTACCGGTCCCTCGGGGTACAGAGAAGATTAATTACTTCTAAAAGATCCTGAGTTACATCATACCTGGGATGAAAGATAATTCTGACCCAGTTTTCTGTCCACAGGTGTCAGCCGTTCCCAGGGGGGTGTGGTCTGCGGGGACCTCAGTTCCACCGGCTCACGTGGCCTGGGGGGCATGGCCACCAGCAGCAGCACCCTGTGCTCACCTTTGGTAGTGGGAGCCTGCTCCAGTCCAAGATCTGTGCGGTTTGCGTAGAAAGTTGTGCAACTCGAGAAGGACTGGGTCTGATGGGGGAGTGTGGGGCTGGCTGGGAGGGGCAGTTATTTTTGTCACAGGCCCAAGTGTTCGTTGGCAATTTCCCCTTACAGGGAACCTAAAACTATCTCTCCAGTTTCCTTGTTATTGGGGTTGTGATCTTCTCTTGGCGTGTAAACCCCGGGTTTGGCAGTGCCATATCATGGACTCTCCTGGTCCCTGTGGTAAAGGAAAAAGGATATAATCTAAAGCCTTTTCGATATAAGCTACTTAGTCATCTTCTTCCCTGGTGAACTTTACATCAGCGGCCATGTGTGCCAGGCCCTCTGGGAAGGGAGCCAGGTAGAGGGCATACAGAGCATGCTTTGCCCTGGAGTGGAGGCGTTGCAGATGCCACCACAGCATAGAGGGACAGCAGGGGAAGAGGAGCCGGGACTCCAGGGAGGCCCCTCACTCAGTCTGAGAGATCGTACATTCCCAGAGTCCCCCAGCTATTCATATGTCAGGACAGAAGGCCTGATGAGGCCTATCAGCGGGATTTATACTACTGTCTGCTTGGAATTTTGTTGTGTTGGCATGATTTCTGTATGGCTCCTTTCTTTCAGTATGTTCAATTAAATATGGGTGGCAAAAACTCTCCTAGTAATCAAGTTAATGCCTACCTCTGTCACTGTTTTCCTAACCCACCTGTCACTCTGATTCCCTGGTACCTGGTGACAATTTAGTCTCTCTGTAAGAGAAGAAGGTTCTTTATGCCTAAATCAAATGGAGGAAAGAGACTTTCTGAACTACCTGATTTCTTGCAAAACACACACACACATGTACACATGCGTGTACAAAGAATAGGTAAATTTATGGCCAAATAAGTAAAATGCAAAGAAGGAAAAGGAAAGAGGAGGGCACATGGACACACTAGTGCTAATAATGAGACAAACTTTGCATGTTTTGGGAGAGATCTTCAGCTTGGCCAGGAGACCAGTCCCTTCAAAGTGATGCTTTCGAGTCATTAGCAAGGAGGGTTAGCACTTGCCTTATTGAATGGATACTTGCAAAGAATGGAGTCAGTGAGATGTGACCAAGATAGAAGTTCAGAGACCCTAATA